GGCTTACTGGCCATAGGAGCCAATGTAAGTATCATTACACCAGACACTTGGCATCAGATTTGGCCTCTTCAAGAGGTAGATGTTTAGTTCCTGGGAAATGGGGCCCTATCTCAGGTAAAACAAAGCATGAGATTTTTTGAATGCCTAGGGCCAGAGACAGAAATGAAGACTGAGAAAATATATAATTATTATTGCAGGGAATTTATGGGGTTGTGAACTACTGCAGGAATGGAATACCCCAATTAACATTCCTTAAAAGATTCACAGAAGAGATTTCTTAATTACCTAGGTTACAAAATAGGTTTTCAGAAAATTAGGACACAAAAGGCACAAATTAGGAGGGACTAGCTGTGTACACTTAATGGCTTTTAAAGATTATTGGGAGATATCTTCAGTCTACAATCAGCAGTTTGGATAACACCTGACCTAACTGTTAATCTAAATAAAGCTTTAGATGGTGATAAGAGCTTAAATAGTCCCAGAGAATTAACAGCTGAAGTGGAAAAAGAATTGATGATTGTCAAGAAGAAATTACAGGAGGCACATATAGATAGAGTGAATCCAAATCTTAATTGTATTCTGGTCATATTGAATTTCTCCTACATGAATTTAATGCAGATGGATGATATTATCTTAGAATGAATCTTTTTACCACATAAACTAACTTTAAAAATAAAAACTTATGTGGAACAAGCCTCTGAATTAAGTATAAAAGTTAAATTGAGACTTCATCAATTAGCAAGTATAGACCCAGGAGAGATTATAATGCTTTTTACTGCTGATGAAATAAAAGAAGTTATGGAAATACAGTGAACCCTGGCAAAGGGCTTGTACTAATTTTTTGGGATATATTAATAACAATTATTCCAAAAGTGATAGGCTTAACCTTATAAAGAGAACTCAGATTCTTCCCCAAATTGCATGTGATGCACCTATAACTGGAGCCTGTATATTTTATACTGATGTGAATAAATCAGAGAAGGCAGGTTACAATTCAAAAAAATTAATTAGGGTGCAACAAAGCTCTTATAATTCTGTCCAAAAGGCAGAGTTATATGCTAATCTTATGGTACTAAGAGATTTTAATGCACTTCTCAATATAGTTACTAATTACCAATATGCCAAATGAGTTGTCTTGTGTATTGACACCAATGAATTTATACTAGATGATACAAAATTGATTTCATTATTCATTTAGTTGAAAGACATAATCAGGAATAGGCTTTGTCCTATATACATAATACAAATATGATCCCATACGGGTCTGCCAGGTCCTCTAGCAAAAGGTAATGTAGAAATTGATCAATTACTGATTGTAAGTGTGTTGCAGGCCTCTGAATTTCATAAAAACATTATGTCAATAGCAAAGTTTTAAAGAAAGATTTTTTTTTATTACATGGCAATAAGCTAAGGAGATTATGGAGGGATGTCCTACTTGCTCTTTCTATAGCCACAAAACATAGCCTGCTGGGAGTAACCCAAAGGGTACTTAAAGGAATGAGATTTGGCAGATGTATATGTTCTATTTTGTAGAATTTGGTAAATTAAAATATGTGCACTACACCAAAGACACATACTCAAGCTTTCAATGTGCAACTGGCTTTGGTTCCGTAAAGGCTGATTCAGTAATCACACACTTATTAGAAGTTAGGGCCATCATGAGCATTCCTAAAGACAGACAATTATCCGGCACAAGTATCTAAGTAAATGAAACAGGTTTTTTTTGCTTATTATGATATAAAACACATTACAAGTATACCAATGAATCTTACAGGTCAGGCAGTTATAAAAAGGTCAAACTGTACTATAAAGGATATGTTAAACAAACAGAAAGGGATGGAAAATCCCTCAAAAATAGATTGTGTAATGTTTTATCAACCTTGAATTTTCTTAATATTAATGAGAAAGGAACAACAGAAGCAGAGAGTTATTGGATAATGGAAAAAAATCTTCTGAAATGAATCAACCAGTATTTTCAAGGATATGTTGACCTCACAATGTAAACCAGGAGATGTGCTACATTGGAGAAAGGATTTTGCTCTTGTTTCCACAAGAGAATAAAAACTATGCATAATATCAAAATCAATAAATATTCACTTTGAAAAGAAGAAACCTTTTGAGGAAGAGAAATGACAGCTCATCCACAATGGTGACAACCATACAGGTGTTATGGAAAGCATATAGGGTTGGGGCAGTGAGGAAGAAGATAGAACCACACAGCAACAACTCCACCTGGTCAAGATGACATTGTGATGCTAACACTACTATAACACTGTTTTTGGAGGGGTACCAGCTGATGAAATGATGCATCTTCTCATGATGTTCTGGAAAGAATGCCAAAGAATGCAAACTTTGAAATAAAAGGCCTATCGGCTGCTCAAAAATCATTTGCAACTATACTAGACAGTAATTTTAAAACTTAACCACCACTTTCTTTTGCAAGATTTCATTAAGAAAATATTGCCCCATGACAGCAGGAAGCAATTCTAGAGTGTGATATTTTCTTCTTGGCACAATTGGACTGGGCAAGGAACTGCCATTATCTCAACCATTGACAAAGTACATGGTTTCCGGAAATGGATAAGCAGAACACAAGGAAAAAGATTGTCAAATCTTGCCAAGACAGGGAAAGTCAGTTCTGAAAAATTTCCTGCCTCTGAAAATGGTTTGTCATTTATGATACACCTTAGCCAAATTTGGTTTCTTCAACATTGCAAATGAGATTTTCGGTGATTGCTCAGCTAACTAATTGTCTCCATCATATGTTGCTCACTTTGGAAGCTGTTTGATTGCACTTCCTGCCTACTCAAGTAATGTTATCTCCCTTCTCAGGCCTTTTATGGGGTTGAAGATTAGATAGTCATAGTTACCACCCTCTTATGATCTAGCCAAACCATTTCCAATACATGACTTAGACTCTGTAAGATGTAATGTTTATTAAAACATTTAGCATGCATTCCTTGCTTAATACTTTTTATGCTGGTTTCATTCTAATCTTACACTTGATATATGTTCCTAGTGTATATAATTTTGTCTTGGGTTTGGAACTCTCCTATTTAAATAAAAGGGAGAGGTGCTGTGGGAGACATTCTGCTCCTTTAGCCAGTAGCCTTTAAGACACCATCTCATTTGCTTGTGATCCCTTATACTGTAAATGCAGATGTAAAATGTCACACTCTCTCTCTTGCTTCTGGCTCTCACTTCTGGCTGATAGGCTCTGTTCCTTTTAGTGCAGTGGACTGTTACCTAGGAATATGATCTCTAAGTTTCCCCTAAATAAATAACCCTTTATTTTTCATAATTCTGAATTAGCGTGAGTTTATTTTGTGACTTCTGCCATCAATCTGTCATTTCAGTAAAACGCTTGTGAATTCATAGCTTTCTCCCTTTTCCATAGTGGATATCATACCAAATAACCTCAGCAGACTATTAGTCATTTATTGAGCATAACCCCTTTCTTTACTGGTGACTAGATGCCTTTTCCTCCACTCTGTTATGAATGTACTCACTCAGTCAAAGAAACCCATGTTCTCATACACAAATCTACATGAAGCTAGCTCTTCACAAATATCCTTTGTGGCAGGACATCTGACAAGAAGAGAAGCCTTGCAAATAGACTACATGAGAATCCAAAAAGATAGAAACTGAGCAAATAGGGCAGCATGTATAGCCTCATTGATAAGGACTGGGTGGCCCTAAATTCTTTAACAGTCAACTTAGGAGACTGTAACCTTCTCGCCATTGATCTGCTTTAACAGGCTATTGAAATTCTGTACTTACCTTCACTTCAGTTTTATTTGAAACAAGATTGTAGTATAGGAAATTAAGTTTGTGACTTAACCCATAGAAATATGGGGGCGGGGGAGCTTGGAATGAAAATCCAACCACAGAAAAAGTAATTCTTTCTTACCTGGGTGCCAGAAAGAATCCTGCCACTAAGCCAACAGCTGGAAAGTGCAATCTCCAAAGTCTTTGAATTTAAAAAGTGAAAATGCTATTGCAAAACATGTGCCATCACTTTCCTCCTATGGTGCATGCTGGTTGCCATGGCTAACACAAAACTGGAGTGACAGATGCATGTTGCTGCATGAAACTGAACTAAGCCTTCTGAATGAGTGTGACAGTTATATGACTTGATCTGTGGGGGGTTGGCAGTGGGACCAGAATTCATCCTGGGTACATAGTCAGGCATGCATTATGGACCACATTTTATATGTTGAAATACCTTCCTCAGCCTCGATACAATGAAGAAGGACTTGGTCCTACCGCAACTTGGTATATTAGACGTCCTTCACTCCTCAAAGGTGGCCTTACACTTTGTGGGGAGTGGATGGAGGTGAAATGAAAGAAGGTAAAGGGGTGGTAGAAAGGGGGGGGGTAGAAAAAATGGGACTAGTATTTAAAATGGATAAGAAGTAAGAAAACAGCAAAAAAACCCAAATAGGAGCAACAGGAGGAAAATATTCAAAACAACCAGAAAATATTAGCATTGATATGTTTCTCCCATTAGTAAATGTGAACATAATTAGGAATTAAACTTGGAGTAAAAATAGTAACAAAAGCTTGATGGTGATAAAAAGAACTATTTATTCATAAGAAAATATAAATATTTCATGAGTAAAACAGTTTGAACATTAAGAAATTAATAAATATTCTTTACACACTGAATAAACAAAGGCTAGTTGAACATACAATATTTATATAAATAAAATGAAATTTAAGTCAAAATCATAAAATTTGGCAAATGGGATAATTATATAGTAAAGGAGACAATTATCAAAGAAATATATCTCAGGTTTCTGTCTGTTTTACATCATAATTTGGCATTATGAAGCAGAAAAAAAGCTTTAAGATCAGAATGGGTTGTCACTCAATTTTAGTCCCATTGTTCATGATTGCCAAGAATGCCTCTGTTCACCATTCTCCTGAAGCAATTTTATTGTTATTGCAGCTGAAGAGAACTGAGTTCATGCCCTTTGAGGTGTAGCCCAGGCAGGCACTCATGCTCCAAGTCCCTCAGATGCAAGCAATACTCTTGGGTTTCTCAGCAGCTCTCTATTCAAAAGGGTAAGTAATATATTTGTCAGATGGGCCACCACAAGCAAGGATGTTTTTGTTAGGGTCTGAATCACTGTGGGAGGAAAATGTGTAGCTTGCATGCAGTAATATACTCCTAAATCCTCAGGCTCCACTCTGCTGATCTTGAGTGTGAAATCTGTACCTGACCCACTGCCACTGAACCTGTCTGAGACTCCAGAAAATCGATTGGAAACCTTGTATATTAGGAGTTTCAGAGATTGGCCTGGCTTCTGCAAGTACCAATTCAAATAGGTGTTACCATCACTATATACAAGGCTCTGACTAGACCTGCAGGAGATGGAGGCTTGATCTCCAATGCTGACAGGCAAGGAGGATGGAGTTTGGGTCATCACAACATCACCTGTGGAAACTGAAATACAGACAGAGAAGTAAAAAGTTAAGGACTCACTTCATGAAAAATCTTTATGTACTCTTTTTTGAAATTTATTTCAAGTGAGATGTTTATCTACATACAATTTTTATAAACTAAAATTCCCTTATTGATTGAGTGAATTGGATGTCCTAAGAAACTTCGAAGCATGAATTATACCATCCCATTCCATCCGTGTCATAATCTTCTTTGTAGAATAGAATTTCTCTGATCTGAAACCTTTCTCTATTAAATGTAAACCTCATAGGAAATATCCTGTAGGATAAGGCCCCTCTGCCTTACAAAAGTGGGAACCAGGGATCATCTGCCATACCCATTCTCCTATCTCATTTCCCTCTCTCCTCACCAGGAATCCAGAAGAACATCAGCAATAACAGCCAAACAGGCAACTTCATTTTGACGAAGCAGTCTGAGAAGTCTGATCAGTTATCAAAGTATGCCAGCTGAGGTTTATCTTGAACTAACAAGGGTGGGGCCTCCCTAGGGAGCAATATGCAAAGTTCTGGGTTAGTGCTATGGTACAAATAGAGGGAAGAAATCCAGGCTTCACGTGATTGCAAAAATCATATAACAATTTTTTTTATGTCGGGGGTTACAATTGAAAAATAAATGTGGTACTTGATAAGAAAAGAACATGATAAAAACTATCAATCTGTATGACCATATACACTTAAAACTACAGAAACACTGGGAGGAATGAAATTGAATACATGTATACAATGAGTTGAATAACAATGCTTTTGCTTCTCTTTCATCATTTTCTGACAAAATATGTATCTTTTATGAATTTTGAATATTGACGTTAGGAACTGTCATTCCTGTGACTTATTTAATTTTCTCTGTAAGACCACAAGATTAATAACCATGTGACGAAGGCATATCTTAAATGTTTATCATGAAAAGTAAAAGTGATTATATTAAAAATAATTGTCAAAGAAAACATTGTTTGAGTAATCTTGGAATGGAAGTATGGGTCCCTGGTGTTTGTGGCTACTGGTATTTCAAATGAGAATTTCAACTCATTTCTTCTATATGAATTAAGTATATATAATTTTATTCAGCAATTATACCTCAGTGAAATTATATTTTCTTGTTATTTATCACATGTTCATATGTATGTGTGTGGGGGGCATGTTCATTCCAAAGCACACAGGTAGAGGACAGGGGACAACATATAGAAGTCAGTCCTCTACTATCATGTTTTTCTAGGGAATACTCAAGCAGTTTTTCTTAATGAAAGGAACTTTTATTTGTTGAGATACATCACCATTTCACTAGATTAACTTATTTTACTACCATATTTTGAGAGTATAAAAGTCTCTCTTTGGGTTGACAGATGACTCAGGTGTTAAGAGTTCTTGCTGTTCTTCCAGCAAGTTTAGTAACTAGCACATATGCTGAGCTCTTTAATATTACCTATAAGTCCATATCCAAGGAACCCTACATGCACCACATTCCTCTCTAGGCAACTGCATGAATGTGTGTTTATATGTTGGCAGGTAGCGGGGCATTCATTCATTCCTGGCTTCCCAGATACAAAAGAATCACAAAAAAAACTATATTATTTACAATACTGTTTGCCCAATAGCTTAAGCATATTTATAGATAACTCTTACATCTTAAATTAAGTCATTTCTATTAATCTGTGTATCACCACATGACTGTGTCATTCCATGTAAAATTCCATCAGGTGTCTGTCTCCAGTGAGGCTACATGGCTTTTCTCTGATTCTGCCTTCTCTCGAGAGAGAGAGAGAGAGAGAGAGAGAGAGAGAGATAGAGAAATATATATATATATATATATATATATATATATATATATATATTTCTCTTCGAGCCTGGCTATACTGTGTTAATTCATTGACAGAAAGCAGCTTCTTTATTAATAAATAAAAGCAAAACATATACAGAAGGACTTCACATACCATTTCCTATTTTCTGTTTAAATAAAAAGGAAGGTTTAAACTTTGGCATAGTAAAATTGCATATAACAAATCAGGTTTCAAGCAAGAATCACTGTTACAATATTTATGTCTACTTAATCTTTTAACATGTCTAATAAAAACTATAATTATAACTATCTATTCTTCAACTCCATCAAAGATCCCAGAAGTATACAACATTACCTAAGTAAACAGGAAGTGCATTTTAAACCATCCCAAACCTCTAAAATTAACAGAAACATATTACTGCCTGAACAGTCACCTGAAATTTTCTGTATCATTGCAGGCACTCATCTTTAGCCTCCTGGCCCATAGTATCCAGTAGACTTTTCCATGAAGCAGGAAATTTCAAAGACATTCCCACCTTTATTAGCAGTTTGTCAGTTGCTTCCTTCTGTGCTTTGCAGAATGTCTGGTAGACTATTTCATAAACCAGGAACCCTGAAGGATTGTCTCACCTTCTTTAGGCAGCTACAAAAATCATTTTTCTTTGGGTCCTCAAGTCCAATGAAACTGTTCAGGCAAGAGCAGTTTCTTTCCCTAATGGCTATTAATCTCCATGAAGAACTTCTTCACCAGATGAAGGTTCTATGATGATATGCAAGATATTCGTCAGTATTGCTCAAGGATAGGGTCATTTCAGGTTCCCTATTCTCAACTGCCCAAGGAACTAACTGGGGACCTCAGCTTGGGCACCTGGGAGCCCCTCTAGGGTCAGGTCTCTTGCCAACCCTAAAGTGGTTCCCTTAACTAAGAATTGTGGTTCCGTGCTCCCCTGTCCAACCTTCCTTTATCCCAATCCTCCTGCTTTCCCAAGGCCCGACCTCCTTCCCTTCTAACTTTTCTCTCCCCATCTCCCCTTACCCCCAACCCACCCCACCTCAAGATCCCAATTTTCTCCCCGGCAATTTTGTCTACTTCCCTTAGCCCAGAGGATAACTATATGCTTTTCCTTGAGTTCCCCTTCTTACTTAGCTTCTTTAGATTCACCTATTGTAGACTCTGTGACCCTTATTTATGGCTAGAAACCAATTATGAGTGAGTACATCCCATGTTCATCTTTTTGGGTCTGGGACACCTCACTCAGCATAGTGTTTTCTATTTCCATCCATTTGCATGCAAAATTCGAGAAGTCATTGTTTTTTACCGCTGAGTAGTACTCTAATGTGTAGATATTCCATACTTTCTTCATCCATTCTTCCATTGAAGGGCATCTAGGTTGTTTCCAGGTTCTGGCTATTACAAATAATACCTTCATCTGGTGATGGATGGAGATAGAGACAGAGACCCACTCTGGAGCACTGGACTGAGCTCCCAAAGTCCCAATGAGGAGCAGAAGGAGGGAGAACATGAGCAAAGAAGTCGGGACCACGAGGGATGCACCCACCCACTGAGACAGTGGAGCTGATCTATTGAGAGCTCGCCAAGACCAGCTGGACTGTGACTGAAAAAGCATGGGATAAAACTGGACTCTCTGAACATGGCGAACTATGAGGGCTGATGAGACGCAAAGGACAATGGCACGGTGGTTTGATCCTACGTAATGTGATGGCTTTGTGGGAGCCCAGCCAGTTTGGATGTTTACCTTCCTAGATATGGACGGAGGTGGGAGGTCCTAGGTCTTACCACAGGGCAGAAAACCCTGACTGCTCTTTGGACTGGAAAGGGAGGGGGAAAGGAGTGGGGGGAGTGGGAGAAGGGTGGGAGGAGGGGGCGTAGGGGGGGAGGAGGGGGAGGGAAATGGGAGGCTGGGAGGAGGTGGAAACTTGTTTTTTTTCTCCTTTTCTCAATAAAAAAAAGAACTTCTTCAATGCCTATCATCTTCTTAAAGTAATTAGTGCTGCCAGGAGCAGATGTGTCTCATGTCATGTAAAGCCCAAAGCTATTAAAAAATTTAAATTCTATATTCTGTAGTCTTTGGAAGGTTTGTTGAATAAATATCCAACTGAAATATACCTCTGTACACCTAGAAAACCTAGCTAACATGACTGTAAGCTTCACTATTATAGATGATTATACTTATTAATTATACATTATATTTTTAAATAAACTACATAAACATATTACCTTAATAGCAGAAATATAATGTAACAAAATTGGCCTTAAATTTTCATTAATAGACAAAGATATAACCAATGCAAATCTCTATTGCATATTCCCCTATACATGTAAAGAAATATTTTTAAAATATATTTTAGAATTTGGACATTGTTGTCTAGACTACTTCCTGCTTATTGGGGCATGTCATCAGGTCTGTCATGAGGTATCCTGTGTGTTAGCTCCATCTCAATCAGCAGTCCTGAAGGAATCATGGATGTAGACCATCTGGGCAGTTTTAAGGGGGATATATTTGATTAAAACACATTAGTCTGGAAGAAATTCACAGGTTCTCACCCTCTGTGGAAACAAAGGAAGAATCTATTTTCCAAAGCAATATATCTTCAAACACAAATTTTGAAGTCAAGATAATTTTAAAATATATATGTTGGTTTAACTTAGCAGCACATACAATGAAATGTCTCTCTGTACTTAGCTCCTTCACAGTCAATAAAATTCAATAAAAATACAATAATATACATAATCCAGATTCTCTGTATATAATTCTTCTTTATGTGCCTTATTTTTTTAATCTATGACTATGCTCTGTCTCTTTAAAGACTTTTTTAAAAAACACTTTTTTATAAATGTGTATAGTCTTTTTCTCTTCTTTTCAAGCCTACAAACATTTATCTAAGACTTTGACTTATTCAGAGGTCCTTTATATCTGAATCTGTTTTCATTGCATATATGTAATGATTTTATGTCCAGAACTGTGGGTGATCACACCAGACTCTCTGAATGAGGCTGCCAATGGGGGCAGACTGAGAAGCCATCAATAATAGCACTGGGATGTGTTTCTACTGCATGTGCTGGCTTTTTGGTACCCTAGTCCATTTGGATGCACACCTTCCTAGGCTTGGATGGAGTGGGGAGGGTCTTGGACTTCCCATAGGACAGGGTACCCTGCCCTCTCTTAAGAAGGGAGAGGGAGGAAGGAGAGTGTGTGGGGGAGTGGGTGGGGCATAGGAGGAGTGGAGGAAGTGTATATTTTTGAATGGAAAAAAAGAAAATGAAAAAAAATGCTAAGTGGAGTGTCTAGGATTAAAGCTGCTTTGCTTTTGGCTTTGCCCAGTCCAACATGGCAGAGACATGCTCACTGTCTCTGTAAGCCATTCACACTGCCCTAGGTCCAGGTATTCAGCAAGTCTACATCTCTTTCTTAGAGAATATCTTGTATGGAGTCACAGTGATATCTTAGGACCAAGGAGCAAAGAATATCAGGAGTAGACATATAAATAAACTTTAAAAAATTATAAAATATAAACTTTATATTATATCAGAATATAGTGATAACTGCAGCAACTTTGGCCTGAGAATTTATTTGGGCACTCTTACCATTCAAAGTTAATAGGTCAGAAT